TGCATACGGATGTTGTTTTGAGTGCTTGTGAGTGTGTTACAGCAAAAGAAAGAAGTAACTCCCCTGACAGTCTGATCTGCACAAGTTCATGTTGCGCTGAAATGTTTCTGTGTAGACGTCGGAGAAATAACAAATACTTTAAGCAATAGTGAAGAAACAGTAAAGTGATTCCATGTGTGGTGGGATTGTTTTGTTGTTGGACTTGTTTGATTCACTCCTTTGCCCATTTTCATATTTCCAGAGCGAAAATTCATTGCACATAAAGTCATTTTTTTCTTTCGTTTCTGTTTCTGCATGAGCTGCATTTCAATCCGTCTCTCCTCTCGGCTGAAGCAGCTCAGAAACAGTCTTGGCATGTTGATTTTTCCGTTCCTCGTCTTCGTGTCGTGGAGGCGGAACGGAGGTAAACAACAGGGGACAAGCTCCGTCTCTTTGAAATGATGATCGCTTTATACTCATCTGTGACAAAAGCTTTTTACTGGACGAAAAGAAAAAGCCTCAATTAGGACAAACAAGCTCTGTGATCAAAGCCCAACAGGAAGCTACTTTCTGCACTGATTTGCTGTAGGCATAAACAAGAGATGCAGACAGATGCTCTTTGTTTTCCAAGACAGACGCTGACCTTTGGAGCTGAGCGCAGGTAATAGCATCAATTTAACGGGGGAAGATTGGTGAAGCGTCCTCTGGTCAGGGCTAATGCTTCCTCCAAAGGCCTGGCTGGGCGTGTTTGCACAGGGAGTGGAGGCTGAAGTTGGGTAATGCAGAACAAACTGTGTTTAAACTCACATAAACCTTGCTAGCTTCAGCAGGGTTTAGCGGGATTTGGAGGGAGAGAGGACAGAGGGGAGGACGGGGAGGGGGGGTGAAGATGGCGAGGGAAGAGGGGAATTTAGGGCGAAGGCCAGGAAAACATTTGCACAGATGTGTGTGGCTGCCTGCTGATATATTTCACCCTCAGCTGCAGCCTGAAGTCTGCAAGTTACCTCCTGCCTTTGCGATCAGATTTGGACCAGACACAGACCTTAAACACGACGTGGCCAAAAGTATGTGGACGTCCATGTGCTTCTGTGCTTAGAAAAGGTGGTCTTAGTGCCATTTCTAACAGCA